ATTGATTTCATTGTATTCCTCCCCTGAATTAAAAGACCGCAATATTTTTGAACGCATTGTCTTTATAAACGAAAATAGTCTTGAAGAGGCCTTTCTCCAACTCTTAAATTTAGCTTATCTTGTCGTAACTATTCCAGCCACAAGTTCCTCCGCGGAACGTGCTTTCTCATCTCTGAAGCGCATCCTTACTTATTTGAGAAATACACAAGGTCAAGATCGTCTTTCAGACTTTATTATCGCGATTGAAAAACAGTTCTTGGTACAATTAAAACGTTCACCAACATTTTACGCGAACGTAATTAAATCTTTCCTTAAGAAAGAGAGACGATTCGATTTAGAATATAAATAATTTTTTTTTTTAATTTTTGTAAATTTTTGTTTGTACCTTATTCATGCTTTTCTTTTGTTCATGTATTGTATTGTATGTAAACATCTTTTTTTTTCGCTCAAGCAAACCCAAACGGCTTTTTTCAAAGCCACCGAAGGTATGCAATTGCTGATATGTCATACAATCTATCTAGCAGTAGTATGCCTTCGGTGTACTTTGTTAAACACGTCCTCGACAGAACTGATTATAAAACTGAAGAGTGGAGACAGATCAAGATAGATGTATTTTTAAAACGGCTAAAAAACAAAAGCATATCTTGGGCTTGCCCCAGTTTAGGATATTTGCTCAAACCAGAAGTAATAATCGGACTCACAGCCCATGTGTTGGTAAATGACACTGCCGTCGGTCGACACTTGCAGCCGACCTCAAACAAAAAAAAATACAGAATCTGAATCTGTATCTGATATGGATCTGATCCATTGTCACATCTGAGGATAAATCGGAATCAGAGTACTAGACATAAAAGTAGTTCTAACGAGTAGAACTCTTGTTAATGATAAATCGGGTTCCCGTCACTCACTATACGACACTCAGTAGCTCTATTTTGCTATCTCATGGACGAATGCTACTGATGTATTATGGTTGCAGCACGAATAGGTTGGCTCGACCGGGAAGGATCAGATTCCCATACAATACTCGTACTATCGTTGAATGGCATCCTAATGCTGCTGTATTTCATATGGTAATTGTAAAACCGAAGAGCATTTTTACTGGTAATGAGGCATTCTATCATATTCCTTATGTGTGGCAACACATCTACTTTTGATTCTTAACGAAGGATGAATTTAGGTGTCTATGAGCACAGCATCCCTTTACCATCTTATTATCAACTGTGTACTTGTTGGTTACTCTTATTCTATAATAAATAAAAACAATTCCATGCTAAATGCTAATTGCTAAATCAAATACTATTTCACCTGGGTGTCCGTCTGGGTAGATTGTCTTACTTACTTCTGTATAGAGAATCTGTAAAATTGCAGGCTGTGAATCATTTAATCTTAGCCCTTAGTAACTTAATGACAAGCAATAGGTGTTGTTACGTTTGTCACATCAATTTTATATGGTATTTATACTACACAATAAGATTTGTTTCGTGTAGCTTACTTTTATAATAATCAACAATCAAATCAAAAAACAAACAAGCAAATCAAACTCGATTCAAAGGATATGGAATATAGGGACTTAATGTTTATCTCTTCAGTTATGTATAAAAAGAACAAAATTATTCCTTACGTTTGATTAGGTTGAAGCGGAGAAAATTATGTCATTGTATTCTGAGATAGTTATTTCAAGTTTTTAAATAAACTACGCAAATTAAAATTAACTTTTAAGGGATTACGAAGTCTAAAATCTCAATCTACTTGACTTTTAGATCTTGAAAACTGGCAGCATTCAAGTATCCAAATCTCTGTTTGCAACTATCACCCTTATGAGACAATTTATGAGAGAGGCTTATGTTCAGCAATAGACTTTGAAAAGGTTGTAAATAATGTACGGTGATAATGATTTATGACTTCAAACATTTCATTTTATATTATTGTTTTATAAGGGCTTGCTTTTCGTAGATTAAACTAGACAACGGTGAGACATCAGGTGACATGAAATAACAAGAAGTCCCCGATTGTGAAATTCTTTCTTCCTCGTGGGAAACTTAATTTAGCAGCTTATTTATAAAGTTACTTCATAATAAACACATTTTAAAGAGGTAAATGATGAAATATTTGTGATAGCTTTCATCTATTTAATAAAACTATTATTTACGGATTTTATCGCGTTTAATTCAACTTTAATTTATTTTTACTATCCCGACGTTTCGGGTGCTTTACAGCACCCGTGGTCACGGGGGGGACTGAGATGTTTGACGTCCCAATGTCGTAGTTAGTCCGGCTACCTTCAGTTTTTGAATATTAATTTTTGGTCCGATTTACATGGCAGGGTAGACCATTTTAGTAGCTTTCATCTACTAAAATGGTCTACCCTGCCAAGGACTTCCGTCTGGTTGGGCTTTTATTTATTTTACTTGTTTTTAAATATCGACGGTCCCTAAGTATAATCCCGTAAAGGCAAAATACAAATTTTACAGGTTTTAAAGTTTAAAACTCTATATGGTTAACCAAGGTATAACTGTCCACCACTTGGTACTTTATCTATTTGAAGTAAGAGTAATGTTTTATTTTCGCCATCTATGAGCATATCAAACAAATGCCTTGTCATTCACCTTTCATAGTAGTTCAATGTTTTTTCGCTACGGATGCTATCGCCAAAGTAAACGGCCATTTACTGACAGTCGGTGTACGTGTCTCGATGTGTATGTTACTTCACTACGTAAATGTTAGTGGCTAAGATTTAAATAACACAAATTTTTACGGACTTTATCACGTATATTTGTTGTATATTTATCATTATTATATTATTTCTTTTTATATACCCGAAGTTTCGAGCACTTTACAGCACCTATGGTCACGAGGGAGACTGAGATGTTCAATGTCTAGATGTCATAGTTAACCGCGGTTAACGTAGATTAAAATTATTAATTTTTGTTTCGATCTATGCAGTACGAACTTGTAATATCCTGAATTTGCAGTTGTATGCTTGGGTTGGGTTTTAATTTTATTAATTATAGGACCACTAGCAGTAGGTAGCACACAGCCATTTTCTCTATTGAAATTGGGATATTTTTTGATTTGAATAGCACCATCCTTGGAAGGAATTGGTGTTCTTTAGCGAGGATTTATGGTCTATCAAATCAGATATAGTCACGACGGCGATCCTATACGTGTTCGCAGACTGCAGACTTCCCGAGGCGTCGATTATTCACATCAGCTATATGTTCTTTAACGCGGGTTTTGATTGATCTTTTAGTTTAGTTTAGAGTAGTAGAATAAGTAGTGATTCGCCGAGTATTTCGCCACCGAGTTCTCGGCCTAGATTCGGCCTAGCGGGTGGCGCGCGGTTATTTTTCTTACACAGAGCTAGGGATAAAACTATACGAGTAAATACAAGTACTTACTCGATACTTTTCTTTCGATACAATGTACAAATGATGAAACAAAAGGTAGGAAAATAAACCCAAATAGGACAGAAAAACAAATTTTTTTTGCGTCACAGTCTTCCTCTCTTACATTTTAAATATCAGCAATATTAATTTCTATTATAGATTCTTATCTACATTCTCAATATTTTTGCTGTTTCTCATGTTCCTGATGTTTTAGTAATAATAATAATATAATAATAATAAATAGGCGTATGGAAGTGACGACCCCATCGCCCGCTGACGTAACGGTTATGTGACAAAACCACTACGTGAGTGCAGTCAGTCAGCATCTTGCCAAGAGGTGTTAGTGCCATGCCTCGGCATAAGTTGAAGGTGCAAAGGCCCGCTTGTGCACATGGCCTCACCATGAAACGGCGCCGGGTCTAGGCGTCTCCCATTGAATGACGCCCATTAAAATGGATGATGGAATTTGATAGAACGCGCAAAGGGCCGCTGCCTGGGGGTCGCCGGGGCGCGTCTGGAGCTGGCGCTGGACGTGACAGCAAACGAACCGCCAGCCGAGCGCAAGGTGCTGCTCGACCACCTAGTAGCCCCTCGCATCCATCATCCCCACCAGCAGGCTTGGTGACGGCAGGGTCTTCACGGGCCCAGCAATCGGCACCCGCCACTGGTGGAATACGCCGCATGCGTTGGATAATCTCAATGAAAAGCAACGCACTGCGGGCGTATTATAGAGCGATAGTGGGAGAAATTGGAGGTTTTGCATATATGGCAAGGATGCATCGACTTTTTGCTGAGCTGGAGCCATCTATAACTGTCAACGAGCAAAACCTGGATGACCGAGTTCGGTATATCTTGCGCTAAAATATATTTGATGACGCCGAACTCGAACGGCTACGACGTGAGGCTGTTCCCTCATCAAATGAAAATGCTACGGCTGAGGATGCGGTGCCATAAGTTGCAGAACAACCCGCACACGTGGATACCGCCGTGAATACCTCAGTGGTGGCTGATTCAAATGATGATGGAACATTCGCCCAGGAACAAAAAATAGAGCAAATGAGGAGTACATTGGAAGAGGCGATTATGGAAACGCGCAGTACGCCTCTCGAAAATCGACCGCGACTTCCCCGCATAGCCCTAAGCAAGCGGAATCGGGCTGTCGTGAGGGCTCTGAACCCAATGCTGGTGACCTATTTGGAAGCCAGCCGTCACCTTTGCGATATGGACTCAATTCTTTTTGGCGTCACGCTGGCAGTCTGCCGTATTATAGGCGCCAAGGTTTCCACGGCTGGACGCGCTACTGGCCAAAGTAGCGCTATCCAAGGATGAAGAAAAGAATTGAGGAGCGTATCGCAAAAGGCTAGAGCTCTCATCGGCAGACTGATATGCTTCAGATCAGGCAATAACAGGTCAAGAATTGTGCTCACCGTCAGGATGGCATTTGCTGGGACAAATGTCGGTTTGTCCCAGCAGGATATAATGCAAAAACTGACGGCACGCATAGACACCTGAAGCAGAGAATCGCTGCTTGGGGAAAGAGGATTCGGCGATATACCGAGAGGTCGACTCGGTTCAACCAGAATCATCTCTTCCAGAGTGATCAGAAGAGGCTCTATGAATCATTGGAGCGACCAATGGCAAGTGGAACGGGCCCCGAATCAGGCCGACACTGTAACATTCTGGCGCGGCCTGTGGTCAGAGCCCGTAAACCACAGCGAGGGCTCTTGGACGGAAGTTGTGGCGAGTCAGTGTACGAGTATAACGCCCATGAACCCCGTCATTATAACGCCGGGTGACGTAGCCGAGGCGGTCTGTAGGGCCTCGAACTGGAAGAGTCCGGGACTCGACAGGCTGCATCACTACTGGCTGAAGGGGTTTGTGGTGTGTCACATTGTGCTCGTCCGATAGTTCCAAGAGGCTCTCAACCAGAAGTCGCTCCCGAGCCTCTTCACTACTGGGATCACTCATTTGTTTCCTAAAGACCAGGATACCATTGACCCAAGCAAATACCGCCCCATCACGTATCTACCGACCATATACAAGACACTAACATCCATTTTGAGCGCGAGAATCACTCGTAACCTGGACTCAAATCTGGTGATGTCGCGCGCTCAAAATGGATGTCGGGGCGGTGGTCGTGGAACCAAGGAACCACTTCTCATTGACGCGGTCATTGGCAAAGTGGTGAAACGCAACCGTCAGAACTTCTCCGCCGCCTGGATAGACTACAGAAAGGCATTCGACTCGGTGCCCCATACATGGCTAAAGAGAGTCCTCGAGCTGTACAAGACAGACTGTACAGTTAGAGACTTCCTCGAGCAATATATGGGGCATTGGAGTACGATCCTTTGTCATCTGGGCGAGCAGATGATGGCTGCGGAATGCCACATAAGGATAAGAAGGGGTATCTTCTAGGGCGATTGTCTGAGTCCAATCTGGTTCTGCCTCTATTTGAATCCTCTCAGTACTTTACTGGAGGGCTCCGGGAGGGGTTTTCAGCTTCAGAAAGGAAGTACAAAAGTGACCCACCTTTTTATATGGATGACCTCAAGTTATTCGCCTCCAGTCGCCCCCATCTTGTGGAATTGCTAAACATCACTTGTGAATTTAGCAATTCTATTGGAATGGATTGGGGACGGATAAATGTGCGGTCCTCCATGTTGAAAGGGGAAGGGTTGCTAACTCTGAGGGCATAGACTTATCTATGTCCATCAGTTTATGGACACTTTCCAAGGCTGAAACATACCGATACCTGGGTGTGTCACAGAACATCGGTATCGATGAGGCTGGTATAAAACAGTCACTTTGCGACGTGTTTTATGCACGCTTGACCAAAGTGCTCAACAGCCTTTTATCTGGTCTTTAGACACACGCATATAACGGTTGGGTCGTGCCTGTCCTCATGTATACCTTTGGCATACTCAGGTGCACTCAGACTGAACTTAACGCCCTGGATAGAAAAGTCCGCACTACCATGACGTCCCATAGGATGCATCATCCGAGATCGTCGGTAATGAGGCTGTACTTGCCGCGAAAGCATGGTGGGCGTGGCCTTTTGAGCGCACTCACCATGCATAATCGCGAAGTGTGTAGCCTCCGTAATTACTTCCTGGTGAGATCGGATGATCCATTCTATAAGGACGTCATTTTTTGTGATAAAGGACTTACCCCTCTATCCTTAGCTAACAAGCAATGGCAAGACCCGGCAGTGCAGAGCATTTCCGACCGGGAGACCATATGGAAGGAGAAGGAGCTCCACGGGAAGTTCTACAAGGCTCTACATGAGATTTTCGTAGACACAGTAGCCTCCCTCAACTGGCTACGTTTCGGTGACCTCTTCGGGGAAATCGAGGGTTTTGTCTGTGCAATATAGGATCAGGTTATTTAGGCCAACAACTATCGGAGATACATCCTAAAGGATGGCACCGTCGACATCTGTCGAGCTTGTTGCCATCCCGGGGTGTCACTTAGACATGTCATCTCCGGTTGTTCGGCGCTTTCTGGCTCTGAGTACTTGCACAGGCACAACCTAGTAGCCTAGAATTCTACTCTGAAATACGTTCAGAAATACGTTCTCGTGGACCGAAAAGTGCCTTATTGCAAGTACTTGCCGGAAGCCGTGCTCGAAAATGACCGCGCCAGGCTCTACTGGGACCGGGCCATCATCACAGATAGGACTATTCTTGCGAATAAGCCTAATATTGTGCTTATGGACCGGGCACAGTCAAGGATATTTTTGGTCGATATTACCATCCCGTATGACGAGAACCTCGTGAAAGCCGAAACAGATAAGTAATCAAAATATCTGTACCTGGCTCACGAGGTGACCGACATGTGGGGTGGTCTGCCGACCGAAATTATTCCTGTAGTCGTCTCTGCGAATTGGCTAATCTCAGTTAGCCTCTCTGGTCATCTGAGGCGACTGGGACTCCATGACGGACCGCTCCGGGCTCAAATCCAGAAGGCGGTGCTCCTCAATACTGCCCGCATCGTTCGCCGGTATCTTTCCCTTTCCCCCTACCCTCGGCCGTTTGGTCTCCCCTGCCGAGGGCTTCCATTTGGTTGGGCTTTTATTTATTTATGTATTTTTGCGTTCTGGTTGGGTTCTACAAATATAATTATATATTTGTAGAACCCAACCAGATGAGAAAACTATATAGATACCCCATAATAATAATAATCTTTATTTGCAAGAATATGGTTGTACAATGGTGTTCGAGTATAATTTGTTCTACATATTCTACCTCAGTGGTGTGCAAATATTAATAGTGAAGTACCCGTAACTTATACAACAATACTTATTGATTTTTTAATAACACAATTTTTTTTAACATTACTCAGTTGATTTAATGATTAATTAATTATGCAACAGTGCCAGAAAAATAAATTCCCAATAAGATGTATAAGTATTGTTATAGCTCAATGTCAAATATTAATGTTTAATGTATGATATAATTATAATAATTAAAATTGGATTTTTGTCTCTATTTTTATCTGGAATATAATTAAGGCCTAGTAATCGATACTCGGCCGTTAATACTCGGTGCTCAGCCGAAGCTTAAAAAAAGGCCGAATCCGCCTAGTACCGAATCCAAACCGAGTACTCGTCCCATGTCTAGTATTTATGTCACTTGACAAAGTTAAAATGTTAAACATAGTTAATTATAATTTATACTTGCTATTATTATCACTTGGTGAAACTCCAGCTTCATTCAGTCGCTTTTTTTATTTAGTAATATCAATTTTATAAAATTTTATAATCATTAATAGTAAATACAGTATAAGTCATTCAAAATAAATGTCATGAAAATAATACAAGTGTTCATCAAATTCATAAAAATTAAACATATTTCGTAAGGAGAGCTATGTATTATAAATAATAATCCACCTAAATATGGGATAAACTGAAGGTCAATTTATCTGAAATGTAGCGATATTATACAAGAAGTAATAAACGTAATCAAAATGAGCGATAAATAAAATGAAAATGTATGAAACAGTTTAATATTTTGTATAGAGTTTAATGAAAACTACCTGAATTATTTTCCGCAGTGAACTAAATAAGGCTGTTGTTGATAATGACGATATTTGTATCACACGTGAAACTACAGCATTTGTGTTTGCGTACACATGTGGGAACTATAATCCTGAACTACTCTCACGATCGCTACTCTCCGTTGAGATTGGTCGCCGTATTCAAAATTCGGTCAGTAGCGCCTTACATTATTATGGCTGCAGTACAAATATAATCGTATATACTATACTACCTAAACCTAAGACTTTGGCTTCCTCTACAGACTAGTCGTGTAAATATAATTAAAAAAAATCCATTTTCCCACGCGTAAAATACGAAATAACAGGAAAAGTTGAAGCTAAATGAAAAATTATTGCCATTGCATAAAACTCATTCAGCACTAGAGTAAAAGTTGGCATTTGTTAATAACACCTCGGAGGAACTCCACTCCCAACATTTGATTAAGACTAATTGTTGCAGTTGAAACTCTTAACTCGCTTGCGCGCGACGTAATTTCTTTGAATCGTGCTATGTACATTTATGTTGTTTTAGACTTTATCAATTAATTTAATAGCGAGGAATTGTCTGAAGCAACCTTTTGGGATCTGTGTGTTCTTAAGGTAAAAACTGAAAGCGTGCGCGTAGCTGGGCGTTTTCCTGTATCACGAAGACGCTCTACGAATGTGAATTGCATTCAGACAAAAATTAAGACTAGAAAAATAATTTGAATGCCATATATGACATGACATTTTTCATTTCGAGATTCGTACCCGCGGCCTTGCAGCGTCACAACTAAAGCAATTTTTTTAGTTTCTTAATTATTATAAGGATGTGTGGAGATGCCTTATGCACATCCTGCCTCTGGACCACAATGTATTTCATTCACAATCATTCCAATGGTTAGCATAGGCTCTCCAAAGCAATACGACTGTAGAATGCTACACGGTTCTAAGACATCTGCATTCATCGTTTTTCTAGTTTCTGCATCTCTTACTAGTTTGTCACTCCATCTAGTGGAAGGCCAGCCTACTCATCGCGTACCAGTACGAAATTGCCGTTGTAAGGTTGTACCGAATAAGCCTCTACTCTATTCCTTCTCCATCGTATATCGGCCAGGGCAATTGTAATTTCGCTAATAACGCTGGTATAAACGTTCGAGTTCTCACCAAGGCTTGGCGTGATTAAGGTGGTAATGATTTACAGGAAAGCTATTTAGTTTGATAATTAGTAATAATAATTTATAATGCCAACTTTTTTGATGTTTATTTTTACTATAAGTTATTGCATGTTTTTATGTAATAAAAATATAATAGGTATATTGCATATTGCTAAAATATAATATGGCGAATAAACTTATGTCGAATATTATTCGTGTTTAATGGTGTATAGTGTACATATTATCTTTTCCAACATCTATTCACTTTTTACCCATTTATCCTAGAAGGTGGATTGTTATATATATATACGTACGTATGCTCGAATATTGAAATACGCATTGATCATGAGCTCATGTGGTGATCCAGATGATTATTTTATTTTATTTAGGTGATCCTTATCAGTACACTAGAAAAAAATATAAATTAAATTATTGTATTATCTGTAGTTAGTTTGTACCAGTTCTGGCTCACTCCTCAGTCTTCATCGAGTATGAGCCATAACAGGTACAAACTAACTACTATTATCATCAAACATTGATACGAGTGCAAAGTTTCAAGTCAATCGGCCGTCTACCAGTTGGTGAAAATTGTACTAAAAGATTCCCTTACATTGATACGCGAAGCTATTACAAGAATGTTAGAAAAGGCAGGAAGGTTTTTTTAAGTAAGCACACAGTCAGATTTTTTTATTTCTATTTTAACCATTAACA